CAGAATTTATTTTCAACGTGAATTTGTTATTCTTTCTTTCTCTTTTATTGTATGATAAATAATATTAGGCGCCATCGTGTCAGACATTTCAAAAGCTCTCTCTATTTATTCTGCTATTCATCGACTATATGCATTGAATTACTCAAGATTTTGCCATGTTTTGGATAAATGTAATTCTTTCCTTGAAGATTGCGCCTCCGTCGTCTCGCGTCTCCTACGTGACCACAATATCTAAGTCACGCTTGTCTCCAACCACTCTTTTATGTCTATCATTTATTCTTCCGATACGCAAACGTCAGCGTTTGACAAGTACAGTTCATGTCGAATAAATTGTCGGTAAAATTGTACGTGGAGTGAGTTACGACTGTGGACGGGCCCTTCGACTCCGCTGTTTTGCTCAGACTCGACAGATTTATCGTCCGCTTTGTTTTTAGAAATTTTCGCCTCCGTAAACGCTTTCCCTCCATATCGGAAACGTCTATTTCGATCTGCATTTATTTACTTTGCGGAAAAGCTGTCATTAAGACCGGCCTGACAATTTTCTGTTCTCGACAAAACCTTCAACGCTTGGAAACGTAAATAATACACCCCATATTGAAGATTATTTCTAATGCTCAAACTCGAGACGCAATAAACTAGCGCGATGATAATAAAAATGTTCAGCTTATCCCTCGTGTTCTCGTTGTAAATTTAAACAGCGATGCGCAAGCGATTCTAAACCTTACCGCATTTTATTAATGTCACGATAGAACATTTTAATTTTAATAAAGCTGAACATCGGCACGCCCGACCTATTTGTCAACCTTCTTTACTTTTGCTGGCATGAAATCATACAGTCTCACTTTGCGTAACTACAACACTAAACGTGGAGAGTTCGGGAGTCGACAGAAAGCGTACTTTTTGATTAGAACGCTAAGACATAAATTCGCACGATAATCCACGTCCGCTCTCGTATGAAATATGAAATCCCCGAAGGACGCCGCGCTGGATTTAAGCTTTTCTCTTTAAAGTAATAAAGGTGTGTTTTATTTGAACTGCGACGGATTATATTTGGGATTTGGACGACGAAACACGTAGGCGAACCATCGCTCATGTGACAAATTTCTACGTTTGCCTTAACGCGGGCCACCGTGTTTAGAATATTATATCTGAGGAAGGGACTTTGGGAAGTCATATTGATTTACATAAAGAAAAAAGGCTGTACAATTCTGGACAAATGAAATGAATCTTGAGTGACGTGGAAATGTACTGCGTGTGAATTGAAGTGATATTTTTTACGTGTAGAGGAGTTCTATTTTGGGACGAAGTTTGGTATCTGTTTTCGTCCACATATTTCTACCTGCTTCTGAAGTCTGCCCGACATTAATAAATTAAATAACTTAGATTGTCAGTTGAGCGCGTTTTCCTTATTAATAAGACTACGCTTTTTTGTGAAACAAACTTGGGAAAACCGTACTTAGTTAAAAATACATATAATCGAATATACACTTATGTTTTATTTTTAATTAATACAATTTGAACCAAGATCGGAATCCGAGATGACTTATACTTTGCAGTCGTGTTTGCTGTCACTTGTCAAAAATACAGTATTTAATAATTTCATTTCTCAATAAATCGTATGCAGTAGCAAAGTCTCAAGGGGTGTGTAATAACGATTGTCTATATGCCTTTTTTGCACCAATTGTACCAGTGTCCCCCCAGGGAGGAGATTTGTCAGTTCGTTTATGCGACTTTGTCGAATTCAAATCGTAGTTTTCTTTTCTGCTAGTAACGAACTAGCAACAATACGTGCGGAAAAGGGATTTTGCGTTTTATTCAATGTATTTTTTTGTCTGTATTTTGGGGGTAGCAAACGTGGTTCCGCGAGGTAAGCAACCCACCAATTGTATATTTATGAGTTCACTATTACGCTCTGTTGAATTTTTATTTGTAATATCTACCAATTTTGAATTGAATCTGCTGGGGATTAGTCGAACAAAGTTTGTAATTGCTAGTTTATGAACCATTGTTACGATTGAAATATGTTGTGTTGCAACACAATATTTTATTCTGTAAAAATATTTTATATATTCTCACTGCATAGTACGATGCGTTGGCAATTTGCCACTAATTGTGTAATATTTAAAGTCTGACACGGTTTAATATTGCTGCGTTGCTCTCAAATGATGTCAATAACCATATAGATCTATCAACAGCGGCTCTATTTGAAGTTAAATAACCATTACATGTCACTGGGACTTAAGAAAAGCTATTTTTATAAGACTCTTCGCTCCACGTTGCATCAACGGTAGCATTAATTTCACGAGTACCGCTACCCTCACTATTTTTGGTATCAGAGTGAGTCAACAGACATAGATTACTATATTAACAAAGCTGTTTTACATTTAAAACAATGTTCGTTTCATTAAAATTGACCGGTCAACGTTTATCACCGCGGACGTCCTGCGCCGACCTCTTATCACCCACATTATCACCGAAAGAGGAAACAGACAATATTTTTATTTATGTTAGTCCCCACTGCCCACTCGTGATGCTACTGAAGTCTAGAATATCCATGATATTGCCGCGCGAATTAGTTTCGCATCATTTTATCTGAAGGACGAACGTGATTTATACAGTGATTGTGCAAAAATAATGGATTCCACATCGAGTGCCAGTGATAGTCTGTTCTAGTAATTTATGTGCAGTTCCATAAAACATAAATATTTTCAAGCAAAATATATCGCAGTGTCGTTACACTCTCATTTTGTGCGCGAACATAGAGCTTCATACTGTACTAATAATTTAAATTCCCGGTGTTTAACCTCAACAATAGACCAGATCAATTCATTAAATAACTAACCGTTAAACCAACATTAATTAATTAAGTACAAAGGTATGTACAAAGGTGGATTCATTACATTTTGATATTTACAACAAAATTTAGCTCAATCGAATTCAATAAACCGAGTTGCATGCATTACCATTGTAAAGAATTGATTTACTCACAAAGCCAGTGCAGAATGTGATGCATAGGTAAATACTGTGATTGGGTTTAGTATTGAAAGTCATGGACGTAGCATTAAATTGAGCCTCATCGAGGAAACACTTTTGTTCATCAATTCACAATATTTTAATCATGATGCGATTTCGAATCATAAAATTAAAGTTCCTGTAGTACAAACAATTCATTTAAAGAACCTACTTAATATTTCACAAACATGGCCAAATAACAAAAATGCATTCATTACTATGCGACTCGTTTTCAATTAGCATTCCTTATCTAGTTCCACCACCACAGCGGGAAGGGGGGTGGACTTGGCAAAAATTCCACCTAACGAGCTCATTGTCTTTTATTTGGACCAAAGGGTTCCGTCGCAGGCCTTAATTAACGGCTTCAAGAATCCATAATGATTTGACTAGATGCTTTCTATTACAACACTTTTTGAATATTAAACAACGTAACAATTTTGTACTTAGTGACAACTTTACAAAATGTGTTTTAATTTACATTAATTTATGCTTTATTTTTGAATGGTAGCAACGTGTAACGAAGTGATGAAATCGCTTAAATCACGCACTGCTACACCACATGGCATGAAATAATGAACGTAATTAGTAATAATGGCCCCTAAGATTGCTCAACAGTGTTAACGAATAGTGTTGCCCATGGTGACCCAATTAATGAATTCATCGGTTGTTGATAAAGTATTTTCATAATAACCGCTGGAGAAATACTGCAAGCTATACAAACTGCTAATGTAATTGAAAGAAAATCGTGTCTTTGTTTTATTGTGAAAGGTATAAAGTAACCTACATCCATGGGTTTGCTATTATTTTGTAACACTTTATCGCCGTAATATTCCAACCAGAACCCAATAAATCTACTGGATATTTTAACTAGTCCGCAGTTCTTACAGTCCAGCAACACTTGATACAACTGGATTCAGTAACCCAAGTCCAGTAATGAGGCAGAGTCGAAACTAATTTTATTTTCTTCCATTCCTTTGAGTGGGACTCTCGGGATATTTGCGTTAAATTAAAAAGTTTCCTCTCTGCATCTCAAGAGTACTTCCTCCACGGCCCATTTATTTCTTTTCGATACTTTCTCTCTAATGATCTCATACGATTACTGTACGACTTGCCTTAACATAGAAAGAAAATATTAAACAACATTAATAAGGTTTGCATATAACCGAGCTGGTCTCTCTGCTTTGAAATTCACAACATGTATTTCTTCTTAATTTGATTTAGTTAAGTTAAACAATCCAGCTTGTACAATTTCTTTGTCTAAATGATTTCGTTTGTTATATAAACGAAGTTTGTTGGTTGATTATTTTTAATTAACGTATTTTTATACAACTTTTATTCATACTTTTATAACTAATCAAAAATCATAGACATTTTGTGGCAACACTCTTATGACAATTATGTTCTTCCTTAATAGTAGATCATCTAATACTTTCATCTCGCCAGTTTACTTATTTTTATTCCCGACATTAAAATCATTCCGCGGAGGATTCTTATTGTACTCTTTGTCATGTTCGGAAGCCATATTATTCCTAATTATTTTTGTCCTTTCTTTCCGACTTCGTTATGCGGCTTCTTTTCCTTTTATTTATTGTCGATAGTATCTCCTTTATTTATGCGTACTGCAGTGTACGTATGAACGTCTACTTCAAATATATTCTCTGGATCTTTCAAGTTTCTCTCTTTCTCTCTCTCTCTCTCATGTGTTATTGATATTCTTTTGTTTGAGTTCCGCTTTATAAGTCTTTTACATAATTCATTATGGTTTGTTCTGAGTACTGCCTTCAGTGGTATTAACTGTCAACTAGACAAATAAGTATATTTTATTTATTGTAGCTCTTCTTATTGATTTTTTGGATGTGTTAACAGTTGTTACGTCTTACGCACTTGTGTGATAATGATTGTATGCAAAATCCGTATTTTGTTCTGAGTGCGAAAGAGAAACCAACTTTTCTTGAATGATAATTTAACGTTTTGCTGTTTTCTTCCAGGCCTGGGCCGGCTGCACCCGTACGGCTCGGGCAGCGGCAGCGGTTCCAGCAGCGGAAGCGGGCGGCGGCGCGCGCGCAGCGGCCTCTCCGACTCGCCGACCGCTCCCGCTACGCCCACGTCGGCATCCGACAACGCGTCCGACGCAACCCTCACGGACTCGGAGTTGCCGCTTGCTAGGGATTCCACCTTGCTGCATAACGGTAAGTTTGGTATTTTTCTATGAAATCACTACGCACTGAACTTAGTGTTGTTGGTGGCAACGTATGAAGATGTTATCATTCCCTATATAAATTAAGGATAATATGATACATAAAACAAAAACGATTATTTTGTTTTTATGTGACAAAAAAAATCGATATCATCTTTGTAAATTGACCAAATTAAGTCTTCTAGTGTAACATGTTAAAACTATCAGTTTCATCAAGATACGATTTCAACGTGATTCTTCCTCTTAACTACTACTTGCCTAAAATAACCTACACTTTTCCTATTACACGTATAAATAGCCATCCTTACTTCTTCAATGGCAACTCATTATGAAGAGTGTAATATGGCCGCTTGATAGACTTTTTGCTTGTGTGGGGCATCTCCACGTGTCGGAGTAATCTAATGCTTGAGTAACAGTTTAAGTTACATTTAATGTGTCGAAAGTAATTAGCGTTTGTTCTTCTGAGGGTAAAAGTTGTAACTTTATCTTTTACTCTTTGTTTTTTCTACGTATGTACTTTTTTCTTGAATGAAAACGGTATCTAGGATATCATTTTAATACAAATGTAATATATGAATTTGAGGTGACTAGTTCTTACTATGAAATAAATACTTTTTTATAAAAAAGATACGTTAACTCTATTAATCAATTTACTCTTGCGCGGTGCTCCTTACATACATTAAAGACAAGGATTGATCGAAGCAGCAAAGGCATCGGATAATCAATGTAATGCCAGAAATTCCAACAGATTTCTATCTACCAACGTTATTTATTAGAATTTAAACGGTAAAGCCGAAGGGCCACCGCTTCCCATGTTAAAGGCTGCGAGAATCCCGCGGTAAAAGTGTTTGCTAGAATGCAAAATGAAGCATGTGATTGCTACGGAATCGCATTATGGCAGTCCTGGATATCGACCCGTGTCACTGGAAAGGATATATTTATTTTGCAGGCTACAAGATGGACAGGGTACACAGGTTAGGAAAATATTTTAAACTTTGGCACCAAATGCCTACTCGTTGTACTTTCACATTATAACAGAATTTTTTTACACCCTGAATTATGTTGGTCTACACACATATGCAAAATTTTTGTCATATTTAATTAAAATATTTTAGGCGTAATTTTGTTCATTTTTGATGTAAGACTTTTAATTTTTTCCCCGTTAATATCGCTTCCAGCGGTCCCCTAAATTCATTTAGCAAAGCACTGTGTCACAGAGGCCTCTCGCGACGGTTTCCTAATGGATTTTTATCGTGTCGTGCTCCATGAAAATTGAACAGGAAATCCTAGGGAGTCCCGGTTTTAATTTGCCAACCATTGGATTCTATAATCGTTCTAGATTTCATTGAAATGCAATTTAATTGGAATTCCCTCGGTGTGATTTGAATCGACTGCGTTTGTGGGTCGACGTTATTTGGTATTTTATTCAGAGCCACGTAAGTTCTGCGGATTATCTATTTAATTTGTTTTTAATATCCTATACTATCTACATTGTAGTATCGAACATTCGCTTTCATTTTGGTATAATAACAACATCTATACAAATACTTCTACTTCTGGTCTGATATATAAATCTGGCACACTAAGTAAACAATAAAATAAAACACTTAAAAACTCTACCAATTGAATTTTACTAAAATCATTAGCATACTTAATTAACCCTCGGCTCATATTTTCAGGATACTCAAACTGCGTCCCAACAATCTCTGGCTTACCTACCCTAACAAATTCTAACACAAATCGTCCAAACAGTTCAACATTTACATTTTCCCTCTTCCACGTTTAATGTTTACGTGTTGCTTCCAATAGCATTAGTTATAACTCGTAAATACAAATTACTAACGAACGTTTCCGATACCCACCGCGTGTTCCCAATGTTTCACTTTGTCCCTCAAAACTTTCCAGTTGAAAATTTTGCCCCAATATTTGTTTACATATAGTTTTTGGGGTCCCAATTTAATTTAAACTATCGCAGCTTTTATTTGTCGTTTAGTACAACATTTGTCGTTTCGCGGTTTGTGCGTGGACCTTTGTTTGTGGCGTTGAATTTATTCTGCTTGTGTTTTGCTTTCACCAAATTCCGGGATAATTTGTCCGTACGTAATGAATGTAACGTTTCATCTTTAATTTGGGTCGTCCTGTGTCACTCGAGTTCATTTCCACTCGTTAATTAAACTAAGTGATACGATCCTATTTAACGTTTTTCTGTCTTAGGCGTATGTACATTAACATAACTTATACGGTATAGTTTTAGTATAGTGGTTCCACTTGAATACCCATTGCCGATACATAGGGTGCTCACAGCCTATTCGAAGCCATGTAAACAAAATATTTGTTAACATATATTTTTCTCGTATAATAATAACCTAACACACATTTGTTATTTTTGATCTTTAATTTCATAACTAACAACTCAAAGAAGCAATTAACGGATTGATCCTGCACTCAAAAATGATGACGTATCACAAATCGTTTGGATTGCCGTCATAAACAGGCGACAAGTCGTAAATGTGATCTCGCCCAGCGAATGTGTTAAACAATTTGATACGCGGTAACAATGACGTTTTTATGTCGCGATATTTCGGTAAACCTACCGAATGTCGCCTTTAATTGCCGCCATTAAGCGCATGCTTGTGACGAATCGCCGAGCGATAGATAGATCCCGGTTATTTTTTGAATCACAAACCGGTATTTATCTCCCTCACACTTAATCCAAACTACTGCACTAGAAAGAGACGCATATGCATAGTGTTTCAGTAACCGTGGGATAATCATAATGAAAGCCGGAAATTCGTTAACGAATATGGCAGCGCTTCGTTAAATTTTATGTGTGTTTGTTTAATGAATGAATGCCTTTTTAAATTTCCATATGGTGCCGTCCTGTTTTAATGATCGCGCCGAGTCGGACTTAACAAAACAAATGTGGAATGAGTGTTACGAAGGATCATTAATCTATTAGTGAATGTATAAGAATAGATGGAAAGAGTACGACGATATTAGCTGCAGCCTGGCATCGCTTCTCGCGCTTTTCACTATTTTACACCCCGAAATTGCGAAATTAATGTTTCCGTATTCATCCATCAAGGAGATACTGTGAAATTTCGTTCGTTCAAGACATCCCCTTAATCCTCAAGACGAATATCTCAAACTCACGGACGAAGCGGAATAATCGCGAGGTTGTGACGAGCTGAAAAAAATATATAATTCGTCACTTAATCCGAGCATCTCGAGGGGTTAGTCAAACAAATACCTAGTATTAGTTGTGACAAACGCAGGCTTCAGTTTTATGCGATCAAAAATATTAGACAGATCCTAACGTGTTCCCCTTTGAAGTTGAATAATGACACACTCATGGAGTAGATTTTCAGCCTTAAAAACATGAGAGAAAATGAAGCTACGTATGTATGTACTTGGTGGATATTTTAAGGGAACAATGATGATGACGCTTTACAATTTCGTTTAAGATCTCATTGTCCGTCTTGTCTTGATTTCCGATATCGGTGTCTTAAAAAAATAAACGATTAAAAGTATATCACAAAGGACTTTCATGCCAAAGGGACGACAGTAGAGTACATTTTCACAGTACATTGAGCGTAAAAATTCTCCCGAAAACGGTAGACGAAAGAAGAAATACTGTAATGCGTAATGAACTGAAATCTTTTACTACGTTCGTGTGACCCGAGTACAAGTTTCGAGCGAGAAGCGTCGTCATACATATAAAAGCGGTCCTAAGTTAGGTCCCTGAGGCAACCCCACACATGAAAGGCAAAAAGAAAATCAATTCATTATGTTACGCTTATATGTTGTCATATCGTCATCTTACAAATAAATCCGCTTGTAATTTGTACCAAAAGCTTTATGCGACAAACCATGACACAAAGCTACAACCTTCTTAGTTTGGTCGAAAGCACAAAGGAGTTCAGTACCGAGTCGCCAGACCCGAAAAAGTACGAGTCCTTTGAGAGACCAATCCTTTAATACTAATTGAATCATAATTTAGGAGACTGGAAGTTTCTTTTTATGTAAATCTTTTTTGCCTCTGAAGGCTCAAAGGCTGGCAACGTAATAATCTTGAGTTTGAAAGGTTTAGAAAGCACTTGTGTATTTGGGATTGAAATAAACGTCTTTCATGTTTATTCGTCTTTCATATTATTATAGATTTATTGTTTTTTTTTTGCTTCATTTTGTAAGTGCAGTAGCTTCACATTTACATCAAATAATTATTTGTGGTTTGTCTTTGGAATCTGTTGCTAAAGTTACTAGAGGTGCGAGTGTTTACGAAGTGCATTTTTAAATGAAATACACTGATATTATTCAATTCTGAAATATCGTATATAATAATTATATTATAGTACATAAATAACGAAAAAAATTGTACATAAATGCAAAGCATGGCATCGTGCAAGTCATCGATAAACTAAACGCGACGAAACGATGATAATAACTGAAATTTAAAACTGTTACAGGGTTAATAAAAGCAACTTTTCCCTCATCTTTACGTACTAACTCCATAACCCATCCAATGTCAGGGTAATATCAAAAGACAATTTACCGTAGCACAAGCGACAACGACGGCGGGAGCGTCGATAAATCTCGAGGACAATTTCCGAAATTTTTCTATCAGAAAGATTTACACTCCAGTCATCTTGGCGAAAGAAAATCTCACCTACAATCCTATTATCGATCCCTATTCCAGTACAATTTGTGAGTTGCGCGGGCGAGCGCCAGCAATTTTCAAACTTAAATGAAAATATCGGTTGGGGCAGAAGACTGTAGGGAACGTTTTCCACGTCTTCAGCTTGTCGATAGTTCACATCCCGTCGAAGCCAGACATGATTCAGTCCGCAACATCCTTTGTATAAGCGAAGTTTGTGTCGAACTGTTTTAGCTGAATATAAATTTGACAGAATGTTGTAAATATCACTTGATTTATGGATAACCCAAATAAGCAACTCCAAATATTTTAAGAAATACAAAAAATAATATACAAAT